TCCCCCCAGACTTTGTTGTTTACACAAGCATCTTGACAGCAGTTCCAAACTGGATCTTGGATTCACAAACAAGAAATTACAAATAGCTCCATTATCCCCAGGATATGCCCAAATTACCCTCTTAGGGATAATTACCTCAGTTTAAGAAGCACCATGTTAATAGGTGTATTAGGTCCAGATGTGATTACTGCTTCTGAAGTTTCACAGTGGTTAGAGGTTTGGGAAGAATTATTTGTGGCTCCTAAAACAATAATCTTTGTAGCAAGTTCAAGGACAATGACCTTGATAAATTATTTCTGTGAGCTTGAATAATATCTCCAGTCTTGTAGACTATTAGAGATTTGAATTAAACAGTATAACATGTATTTCCTTTAATCTTAACATTTTACTAATACAAGAAAAAAATGTGTTCCATGTATACTAAATGCCTCAAAGATCATTCAAGAAATCATTAGTTACAATCACCCTACTGTTGAATATGTAATTTAGTAGTTGGAATATTAACTCATATGGTTTGAGCTTGTCCTATTATTGTTTCACTTTAAACAGACATCAACAGGATTGTTAGCATGACTCTGGGTCAAGCAGTATATGTTAAGGATTTGTATCCTTTTTCCAGTATCAAGTATTAATGTATCAAGAATGATAAGATTCTTCAGGAACAGAGGTTCACTAAAAAAAATTATACAATACTGGAAAGAGCAATCTCTATGTAGGTTTGTAGCAATGGATTGTCAGAATGATAACACGTGAATTAATATTTTCAACTAAGAAGCAAGACTTCTAAATACCATAACATTTTTGTAGTTCTATTTATAATCTTTAGTCCCTCTTTTCCTTTTAAAATTGCTAAGTTTTTTTTTAATGATTACTAAGCTTATCTCTTCTGAGACATTTTTCTCCTTTCATGCTGTTATATGTACTGTATTTTTATTTTTATTTTGGTATTATCAAATAACATTTAAAAAAAAAAGAGTGGACCAAGTTAGGAGATATCTGGAAGGTGCTAGTAACATTCAAATGCATGAGGCACTGTTTGCAGTCTCAAGTAACAAAGGGCGGACAAGAGACTGATCTTCTTGTTCCTCCTATCTGTAACAAGAGGTCATAAAGATCCAACGTATAAAAGATCATGTAAAAGATTAACAGTTCCACTCAATCTAATTTGATAGATAAATTAAATTAAATTCAGGTATAAATCACTGTCACTCATTAAGACACTTGAGGCTGAGTCTCCTGAGAACAGTTAAAGAGAAATCAGAGAGTGGGCAAGGGTAAATGGACACTGTATATAACTGAATTAGCTGTATTGAAGATGCCAGATTCTATGTAACTGGGGGAAGTGCTCTCCGGCAGTGTTATGTGACAAGTGCCTTGAATCCAGCTCACAGCAGAGCCAGACTTCTAGATGTATTGTGCTGTAAACTAAACTGAAATAAAAGGGATGCTGCATAAAAATTGGCTTTTGGCCAGCCCCAACAGCAAACTTTTGCAGAAGTTCCTAGTTTGATTCTGGCATCTTCAAGTAAGCATAGGGAAAAAATGGGCCTGGAGCCCTAGTTGGCTGTCAGCGCCAAGTTGTTGTTGTTTTAATAAATTAACTACTTCTTTTAAGACATAATTTAATTCAAGAACCTTCAGAAATCATGGATGAAGTGTTCCTTCTAAAACTGCAGCTTTTCTAGCATGTACATCATAATCTGGGGGGCAAACTACAAACATTAGTAAGTAATTAAATAGAGTATATGCCTTTTCTATAAAAAGAATACTCTCCAGGTTCAGAATTAGTATTTTATTTGTGTGTAAATTCAGTCCACTATCTATTGTATGTAATGCTTCCTTGCAATTATACTAAAATTTGTGGCCATCATTTCTCTTCTTTCTCCATCATCCCCCATGTCCTTTCCCTTTGTCAAAGTTTAGGCATTCAGAAATATATGGGTTTACATCAGGGACTTGAAGACTGTTTATTTGTATTTTTAAGTTTTCATACTGTAAAAAAAGACAATGAAGCAATATGTTTCTATGTGGTCTACATTTTACGATAAACTTAAGGACCGAATTAATCTTACAGTATATTGAAATTAAATGGATATTACATGGATCTAGATCTGTTTCAATTTGTCTAAATCTCAAAGAACTTACTATTACAGATGCAATCATTAAATAGGAAGAATTCAACAACAAATTATTTCAACATGAAATAATGTTTTAGGGAAGTTATTACAATCAATACACAAAAAATTCCTGAAGATCCCAAGAGCATTCTCTTTTAAAAGATTCTCTGAAATCAAGAGAATGGACAGCATTCCCCTGTCCACATCTGCCCAGATGTCCAAGCCTTAAGTTCAATGAGGATTGTTCCTATATAAGTCCTGTAGTTATATACCTTAATTCCTCCCTATTCAAGAAACAAATATGATCCTACTAGCACCCTACTAGTTTTATGAAGGATGGAGAAAATAGACAATACACTAGTGAAATCTTTACTAAACCATCCTTGCATATTGCTGGAATTCTTAAAGGGAGATGATTTTGAGCAACGCTTACAGAGACACAGATACACCCTTCAAGATCACAATTGGAGTGAATCCCAATCACTAAATTGTTGGTTGTATGATTTATTGGAAATCTGTTTTGTTTTTTTACCGGCTATCTTAAATTTTAGTTATCTTTCTGTTTTTAGATCATTGATGCATGCTGAGACAATAGTTGATATAATTCTTACTTGTACAGATTCATAAAGAATTTCTGTATACCAAACATTAAAACATTTTTCTGCCACTAAACCAATATTGGCTGTCCTGACCCAATATAGTGCAACTTAATATTAAATAGGAACTAGCAAAAACTGAAAATACTGTCAATGTCAATGTTTATTCATGTTTATTCAAAAATAAATCATATATTTTCAATTTTTCCACATTGGGTGGAAAAATTGAACAGCCACAACAAATAAATTAACAGCCACAACAAATAAATCCTCCAATGAAAGAATGCTTGCTACTTGCATCTGATGCTGGAATCCACTTTATCAGATTGGATATTTGACCAGATAAACTGGTTGCCTGCCTCCAGCTTAGGCAGTGATATATTATTCTTGTAAGATGCCAGGAGATTTTTTTTTTCTACCTTTTGGTGATCTCTTCAAATTTTATTTAAGGTCACAGGAAAAAAAATTCTGGCCTATTGATATGTAAGTGAAAGAGTTAAGCAATATCCTCAGTTTCACTTAGTTGAATCAAGAGACTTCAGTGTGCCTTATTTGAAACATGCAATTTTCTTTCTTTTTTATGGATTATTTAAGTACATTTCTTCTGGTTGTGCCTGCTTTGTAAAACTGTCTTTTCAAAATCCCGCAGGCAAAACTTTAATAATACATTTCAACTGGAGCTCCATAAGCTGATACCTCTAAATCGTTCTTGCCTCTTTGTTTTCAATTGGATTTGCATTTTTTTCTGAAATAGTTAACATTCAATTTCATGCTTGGTTTCTACAGTAAACACTGAGCCTTTTTGTCATTGCCTCACTGCATTCCCTGTCTTGAACCAATAACAAATAGGTTTTTTTGAGAAGTTGTACCAGGTGTCTCAGGTGGTGCTATTGATAAGCTGCTCCTGGAAATAATTTTGGAAAATAAAATTAAATTCCTCTGAACCAAGACTTGTCTTCCTCTCAAGTCCCGCAAAGCCCTTCAAAACAGTGGTCCTTAGGCTGAAGCTGGGTCATACAGTACATGCTAAAGCTCAGCCTGACTTGAGCTAGTGGGACAAGTTAGTCTTCTAAATGTCTGCTTTTTGACAACAGGTAGGTCCTCAGATTAGTGGGCAATAGCTGGGCCAATGCTCCAACCAAGTGATGGCACTGACATATGCAATCACCTATAACAGTGCCCAATAGTCCCTTAATATCACCTCAACTAACGAGCCAATTCTGGGGTCCTCCACCAACAGTAGCCCTCTTTCCCAACCTCACCCAGCAAGGCTGTTGGAGCAATAGCACTTGGAGCCAACTCCTCTGAACAGCACTAAGGTACTGGGGAGGACCTGAAGTAGCTCAGCCTGACCGGCAGTATTATGTGACATATCAATAGTGCATGGAGGAGGATCTTGAAAGGGGAGAAAATGAACCTGGTGGTTGAGACTAGCTTCTGTCAAACTTGTCATTTTGGAGAGATGTGACTTCTGAGTGTCCAGAAGGACAGTGGTGGTGGAGGAGGAGGCATGGGGCCAGAGTTTGAGTTATCAGTAAGGGCAGCTATTCTCAGTTGGGCCTCCCTTTGATTATCAGGAGTTCCATGTATATAACTTGCTTCAAAACTTTTACATTTGTGGCCTTCTTTCACATCATATCATGCCAAATGGAGACTTTTCCAACTTAGAATCAAGCCTAAGCCTTTTAGTTCCATCATCCAGGAAATAGGGCAGTTTCCTTGCCCATCACACCTGCAAACACAAAAGGCTCCTCTTAGGAGTTCACTGTTATGTGTTTATTTAGAAGGCATCTTAAAACAATTCTAATTCTTTGAGGAAGAGATACTTGGCAAAGTCCTAGGACTGTTCTTCAGCATCTGAGTCTTGTCTGAAACTCTGGAGAACCTGCAGATATATGGAAGACCCACTGAGCTACCTGAGCTACTGCCTGATCTAATGCAGGCATGCTAACTGAGGAATTCTTGGATTTGAAGTCCACAAATTATAAAAGGGCCAAGTTTGAAGAACCCTGATCTAATGCAACCTTGTGTCACTCCCTGACTAGATATACATATCACCAGTGGTGGGATTCAGCTGGTTCGCATCACTTCGGCAGAACTGGTAGCTAATTTTTTGTTGCCCAGGCCCAGAATGGACTTCTGGAAGCGCATCCACACAGAGAACCGGTTGTTCACATATTTGAATCCCACCATATTACCCTAACCCAGGGATCTTCAAACTTTGCCCTTTTATCGATGAGGAATTCTGGGAGTTGAAGTCCACAAGTCATAAAAAGGCCAAGTTTGAAGACCCCTGCCCTAACCCATCATCTGATTTATGTGTCAGGTGAATCTAGTTACTGTGGGATATTCAGCAAACTAAAATATTTCTCTATGGCTTCATGAAATATGTTAATCAATCCAGTGACAGAGCATCTTTATTATTAATCTTCCAATCAAAGCTTGTAATACAACAGAAATTAAACGCCACGGATTTTCTGCTATCAATGCCACTCATCTCTACTGCAAAAAGATGGACAAATCATTCATCCTCTTCTCTTGCCTTCCTGTTTCTTTCCAAGGTTCTGCTTCATTTTTATTCCTCAGGAGTCCGTTTTCTTTTGCATTGGAAGGCAAGACTAAAAGCTAAGAAATTCCTTCCAATAGTGAATCAAAGAGAAAACCATAACTCATCAAAAGCCCTGATCCAGAAAAACATTTGGGTCTCTATCTGCCCCTCTCCAAGGTGCAGTAAGAACATCACCATCCTTTCATATCAACAGAAGGGAAGCCTGAAATACTGAAGATAACCTTGAGGCAAATCTACTTGCACTCTGGTTCAGCATCAGTCCTAACAGGCCATGAAAATTTCCTGGGATGACAGAGGCATTTCTGTTGTTTAAACCTGGCCACCCTGCATTTGGCGGGACTTCAGTAGGACTCATGGGTCTGCTAAAATTGGGTGAGGGATATTACAGAATTTGTGCAAGAAGATCTAAAAATTAAAAAAAATTAAAACTGGGAAGCCATTTTTTAAAAAAAATTATTTGGGGACGGGGACATACCTGTTCAAAAATTCTCAGTTCAAAGTGCCATTATTTCTAATAACCAAGTCTAAACTGATGAGTTTGTACAATTAATTATAAGGTCAAAGTCGTCTTAACTGATGTTTGTGTAGTTTGCAAATGCTTCTAAAGACAGAGCCAACTTGGTCTAATGTTTAAGGCTCTAGGCTAGAAAGTGGGAGACTGTGAGTTCCAGTTCCACTTTAGCCATGAAAATTAACTGGATGATCTTAGGCCAGTCACTCTCTCTAGGGTTGTTGTTGTGGGGAAAATAGTTTGTTGGATACGTTCACTGCCTTGAGTTATTTGTATAAATAATAAAGGCGGTAAATAATAATATATCACTCTATCAAAGACAGATTTAAATGCTGGCAACTAATCGATTACAAACTGTTCAATGGATTAACAACTTTAATTAATATTAAAACGCCGGGCGATCCAGGCAGAAATAAAATGAATTCTTGTAATTTAGGCTGGCAAAATTGGGTCAAGTCTAAATCCTTGGGACTGCAGCTCAGCTCTGCAGAACTTCGCCGACTTCCCTGAGATCCCCGTAAGTGCGGCTGCACAGGCCAGTAGGCCCTGCAGCCGCTCAGCGCTTGTTTTGCAAAATGGCCAACTTGGCAGAAGTCAGCTCAAGACCTCCTGAGCAGGGACGGCCACCCGCCTCGGTCTTTGTCCCGCGTCCCTGTTTCCCTCCCCCGCCTGTGTCCGGAATTCTGCCCCCGAGACGCTGAAGAAGCAGCCACCTCCGAGATTAGCGAAGTGCTCGCTCGCTCGCTGCAAGTGCCTTCGTTGGGCGGAAGGGAGCGAGGGCAACTCCTCGGCCTTGTTTACCAAGTAAGGGTGGAATCTAAAGGGCGCTCTCTCGACAATCAGTGAAGCCTCATCTCGGGTTACCGAGCTGAACTCTCTAATGATCTGGCAGCAGATAACTGCAGGTTAAAAGCACCTGAGATAAACGTCTTCCAGCGGCTTGGTGGAAGGAAGACTTTGGCGTCTTAGCCTTGGGCCTTGGAGCAGATTTCATTGGCTGTTCCAAGGTGAAAGGAGCAGGGAGGGGAATCTTTCGCGGCCCGGCGAGTAAAAACTCTTGCCAAGAGCCACAAAAGGTGGCGCTCCGCGATCCTTCCAGTCAGATTGGCACCTACTCCGAGGTAAGGATAAGACTGCAACCTCCATGAATGCCTCCAGTTTAAAACAACTGGGAAGAATTCAGTCTGCTCTCCTTAAATGCAATCCACATCTTGTTTACTTCGGATTAGGGTCACAAACACGTTTGAGAGATCACAGGCTAACATATAAAGTTCTTTCTTTCCCCAGATATTTCAGTCTCTAAATGATTAGCACAACCCAAATGCACAATTGGTAACCTCTGTAGAACTAACATAAGGGATTATGTCCAAGAAGTTAATTCAAACCTGGTTTATGGTTTGTCCAAAGGCAACTTTGCAGGTTTGAGAGAGATGCAGGAATGAAACTTTCTTTTACTTTATGGAAATAAGAGAAGTATATTATACAACCTGTCATCCTTAAATTCTTGGGACCCAGATCCCTTTGTTTGTGTCTAAATCGCAGTTTTTTCCAGAGGAGTCTATTTAGTGGGAGAGGGTTTCTTGTAATATCTGATGCTAGACATTAGAAAACTGAAAATTGTTACTACACTGAATTATTGCCCATTTTGAAGGGCAAAAATTGCAAAGATGTATATGTTTCATTTTGGGCCCCATATTATATAAACTTTAGATTTATATTTTCCAACTGAGCAGTCTTTTGAATGTTCCTATGAATAAAGAATTAGGGTAAAAATTCTCCTGGGATAGAGATCAATGGAAATTGGAAAACACATGCTGCTCAGTCATCATTTGGCAGGTTTATGGTGTTTTGTTTTGTTTTGAAATATATTTTGAAATTCTTGGAACTAAAGAATGTTTATATTTTTCTTTAAAAATTTATTTTATTGAATGTCTATGGAGATTCTCAGTCATCCAGATCAGAGGCCCCCAATCTTTTGGGCACCAGGGACTGGTTAAGTGGAGAGAGATTTTCTATGGAGTGGAGGGGGTGTGGTTTTGTGTTGCCTGCATCCAAGGGATGGGGCTTTCCTGAGGCAACTGGACTTCGTTTTTCTTTGAAGACATTTCGCTTCTTTTTAAAAAAAAAACCTAAAGTCCAGTTGCCTCGTGAAAAAAGCACCTTTGGGTTATTTTACTGAAATATTCAAATCTCTCATTAGAGCTTCTTGGCTTTGACATACCAGACTTGTATCACAAAATCTGACAAATTACTTACATATAAGAAAATGATCCTTCTAAAAACAATTATGAAGACAAAAACATTTTCAATCAAATGCTATTTTCTAGCTACCTGAACCTCTTGCCACCCTGTCTTCATCTTAAATTGTTTTTAAATAAAAGTACCCTATCTGAATTGTGCTTGACTGTCTTTGGAATCGTCTGCAGCACCATTTGCTCTCCTGAAGGCGCTACAGATGTTTGATTGGACACACTGCGAAGTGACCAGCCTCTTAAAGCACTAGGGACAACCCACAATTCCTAGCAGCTGGTAGTTTCCTGTCCAGGTTTGAAATATCTGGAAGAAAAATCTTGGAACAGCAAGACATACACTTGAGGAAATAGTGTTTTAAAAGATTCAAAGCAGAAATGGCACTCTTGTTCAGGCTTTACCTAATCCAGTAAACATCATAGAGCTAGTGGTGATTGTTTTGTTGGGTACTGAAACAAATCTTCTAGGCTCTTAAATCTATGTCAGAGCTCCATTTGTGATTGGCATTTTTTTCTTTCCATATCAATCTTGGATTATATAAAAAAAGTAAGTTAAAGATTTTTCAGGGAAAAGAGATTCCAGGCATATTTATTCAAAAACAAGTCCCACTGAGATTAGTAAAGTTTAATCCCAGATAAATGGATTTTGGATTGCTGCCAATATTTTGAATATGTAGGAAATATGTTAGGAAAGAAATTAAGGAAAAGAACATAGTGGGTGAATTGTAATTTACAGGTATAAAAGTTGATGGACTTGGTTTAAACTTAAAATATTACTTAGAAATTATTAATGATTTTTGTGGTATATTCTTTCAAATTAATTCAAGTCATATAGCTCAGAAGTGTACAGTTGCAATACAAATGGACAACAAGGTAAGAGGAGATCCCACAAAACTGAATCCGGAATCTTTGTGATGAGTCAGTTTACCCATTGTGAAAGAAGAATGTTAATTAAAAGAGCAAGACTTATAATTTACAAATATGGAAAGCAATCTAAATGAACGTCTGAGTAAATATGTTGCCTGCTACTCTTATCGTAATCCCAAAACTCAATTTGGAAGGGTCATCAACATTTAATTTCAAATAGGCCTGGGATTCCCACCAGTAACTCTTTAGCTGAACTCTGCAGCTGTTCCTTTAACAATAGCATGTTCTGCCACAATGAGAGAGATTAATAGCTTGCTCTAGATCAAGTTGTTGTAGAGGTATATATCTAGTGGTTGAAGAACTGGTAATCAATTAAAGGAAAGTTTCAGGGCTGGAGAGAGAAGGGGAAATGAAGAATAAGGCCCCACAGAAGAAAGAACTGTGATTACTTCTTAGAAAACGGAGTGCTCTCTGTTAGTTAAGGGCTGATATGATATGGCCTTTTTTTCTGTGAGAAAATAATTTTCTACTTTTCCTAAATGTTAAAATGTTAGCCTATCAAACGATTTGGAAAATAGAATGATATCAATATCCAGATATAATCAAATGTTGCCCCTGCTTTTAGAATTGGTGGCATGTGTACTCAATTATTGTTCCTGGTCAAGTAGTATATTTTATTATAAAATAAGAAATGCAGATCTGTTTATTTTTGTATGCTTACTGGCATGCATACTCTTTCATTTATCATTTGTATTTTCTGCCTTATCAAATTAATCAAACCAATTGCCCATAAGTATCAATGAAATTAAATTGCCTATTGAGCTCTGTTGCAAAGCTTAAATGGTCAGAGAAGGCTCAAGATTCTAAAAGAAGGTATTCATTATGATTATTTTGCAAACAACATGAATGTTACTTTTTACTGATTTTGTTAATCAAAAATAGAAACTTAATCCAACAGCACACAACTCCAGCCTACACACTATTCTCAACTAAGAGTTCAGATTGAACTCTTTCTGTTCTAACTATACTTATAGCTGAAAACAAGAATGCTTACTTTCAAGTGAGCATAGGTATGATCAGATTAGCTAGCTATCCACAGAACATAGATGATGATATTAAAGCATTCTAGGTCTTGGCAATAACAACGATGTATTCATTTTTTATATTAATCACATCCACATAAAAAAATCCTTTATTTTACATAATTATAAATAAAGCATTAAGACAAGATCAAAAGAAAATGCCCATGCTCACCCCAAAGTACTGCCTGAAAATACTGGAATCAAAAGCAGTGTGCTTTTGTTTTAAATTTCCCCACACTGCTAATTGGCCTGTCAAACGGATAACAGCAAAGGACTGTAGAAGGGCACAGGATGTTTCTCCAAGTTTAATACCCATTCATTAAAAGGTTAGACATTGCCGAGGTAGTTAAACTGGGAAGGAAAGTGATTCCACCCTCCTATAATCAATCCTCCTTTTCATGAAGTTTCTAGATTAATATTAGGAGGAAAGAGACCAGAGGATTCCCGCTTGAACAGCAGGATTAGGAATATTTCTAGAATAAAGGAGAGGGTGTGAATTGACTTTAGTTTGCAAGCGTCTAAAGCGGAATTACAGCTTGTAAAATAGGTCTCCATCAGTCTCCCGGGAGACGCCTCAGCTCGACTTGGGTGTTCCAGCTCCTTGTTCTCTATCTCGATAATTAGTCCCATCTCAGCTCCAAATGTGTGTCTTCTCCACCCGCTTGCCCGCCCCCTCCCCACACACATAGACATTCGTTCTCTTATCCCCAATAAATGTTGTTTGGTCCCCAAATTCCTTACATTTCTGAAGTCCTGCCGAACGCGGTCTCTTTGTAATGGGATTGTGCAGGACCTAAATGTTGGGGACAACACAACCCCCAAATGCTATCTTTTTGGCCGTCGGAGCCCCTTTTAAGAAGGAAAAGAAAGTTTGGAGTGTGACTTTCTTATCGAGGTGGGGGAAATGTCATTTGCTTTGTGCTTTTGATGTCTGGTTGTCTTTCAGCCGGTCCTTGCATGTCATTACCAGGCTCACAACAGAGAAGGGGGTGGGGCGGGATTTTTGGGGAAGGGAAGTAAAGGGGGAAAAGACGAGGAGAAAACAAGAGCGGACAATTAGATGATTTCTGCCCTTCTGTTGCAACTCTGAATAGAGGAATTCGGGACAGAGAAGCGACGCGGCAGCTCCATTCTTAACAAAGCGAATATACATAGCTTGGCTCAGGGAGGGGGGGATTATTTGTTTCTACTCCAGGCCTCCTATTTGGAAGAAGGCTCCGTTTCTGGTGAAGAAAGCGAGAGACATTGAAAGGGAGGGAAAATTTGTCCCGATGCCGTATAACTCAAGAGAGCTGCGGTTTTTCCGTTACCCCCGCCGCCACACGAATCCTAGCGGCTAATTCACTTCCTTCTGCAATAGCCCAAGAGTCTGTTTTGTTTTTTAGTTAAACCGTAGCATCGTTATGATGCTTCGTTCTTTTATCTCGCAGGTTTCACTAGGCCTCACTGCTCGTTGGTTTGTGGAAAGCCTCGCGGGATAGCCCGGCGCCTTTCCCATTTCTCTGCTCCTGTGAAACTTAGCTTCCAAAGTCTTCGCCTTGGCCTAAAACCACGCCTTGAAAAGCGGTCGGATATGATATGAACGAAGAGCAAGAGCACCAGCCTTGCAATTAATAGAGACTATACTGGAACTTAGAGGTTTCGCCCCAAAGAGAAAAAGGGGAGAAATGCGAGGGCATTACTACATAGGCCAGACCAAGAGCGAAAGCGAACGCCGATGGACAAAGCTGTCCCTGTGCTGTAGTAGTTGGGCACAAGCGAGAGGGGCGGGAATTATCTGCGTTGAGCGATAAGCACAAGGCGACTTCTTGGCCAGCGGGGTCGGGTGGTCTTCACCAGCAAAGGCGCTTTGCCGCTGGAGTGCTGCAGTGGCCGGCGGCGTCCCCTCGAGCCGGAAAAAAGCTGCCACACGAGCTCCCCCTC